ATGAAAATAAGTATCTAAGATAAGAGTATTACTCATTTTTAGTAATATATCAGCAAGAATATTAAGTTTTAAACACCTTGTAATGGCCTTCGAATTGAGGGAATCAAAAATCTCACATCAATTTTTCTTTAATATTTTTGCTAAACAAGTAGATATTTAAGTATGAAATGATTTAAACAATATCCATATTGACGATTAATTTTGGTAAAGAGAATACCAAGAATTTGTATGCAAAATTTTCTGTTAATAAAACAACCAAACAAAGTCATATACCTTTATTTCCAATCATGTGATATAGTAGGCAATCTACTTAAGAACTATGAAATTGCAACAAACTTCTTTAAGTAATCTTTCAATTAAAGAGCTGTTGAGTGCATTCATAATCACTAATATTTTCAACTAATAAATTAACCTAATTGTCATTCCTTCTTAAAATAATCATAAAACCTAAAGTTTTATTTTCTATTAACATAATAGTTTAGAAATTCTATGTGCTGCTTTATTTCGTTGTTAAAGTTAAATTTCCTAAACACTGTTCCAATAAAAAAAAAATTAGATGAAGTTGAAAAATTCTTCTTGAAGGTTTTCTTAATACATCTCTTCAAAGAAAACTAATTTGTAATCCCTTAAAATATTAAAAAGATTTCTAATTTTCCTTTAAAAATGTGAAAAAGCAATTTAGTTACAATTACACGTAATTCTATTCTAATTGAACTTTAGCAAATAGATTCTCATTCTAGATGATAGATTTTAGAATATTTGAGGATTGATAATTTAAATTAAAGAAGGAATAAATAAGCAAATCAAATGATAAACAAAGCAGATTTTTAAAACCATTCAGTCTACTTTACTTTATGAGTAATTGATGTTAAATTTCTTTATTGTAAAAATATAAAAAATGTAAATCTCTTAAAGACTTTTCTAAAGAGAATTAATTTTAAACTAACATAGTGATAAATAAACATTTGATTCTAAAATCTTAAATTCTGATATATTAAAGCTAAAGTAACATTTTAGGTATTTGAAGCCTATCATATGTTGATATTTAATTTCATATATTTTATTTTCATACTCAATTATGTATTTTTATGATCGAAAATGATGATTGAATTTGATATTGTGAAAGTTTCTTCTTCATTTTTTAATCACTCTTTGGTTAAACCTTAGATATCAAAAATATCTTTTAAAAATCATTAAACAATAAAAATAAGTTTAATTAACAATATAAATTAAATTTTCAAATTTGCACAAATCATTGGAAGAACAAAATAACAAAGGATTAAGATATATTATATATTTGAGAAATTATCCGGATATAGAAATAAAATTAAATGTATCTTTTTATATAATAATCTTCAAATTCATTACTCCTAATATTTCCTTATCTAATATTCTTTTGATTTATCATCCCAAGTAATCAAATACTGTCCATCATCAGTCATTTATCCATAAATATGATAAGTTCCAAAGTCAATAGATTACTCAATTATAAACTCACCATTTTATTTCTTCCTTATTAAACTCACATTTGAAGCATTCTTATTCACAAGGATACATTTATATTTTATATATTATTAAGGAAAGAAACTAGTATCTCCACCACCATCAACAGGAATATCCTTTGTTTTACTATACTATTTATTAGTGCTATTAATCTCAAATACATGCATGTACTCTTTCTGCCAAGGTTAGAATGTGAATGTATTATTATCTATAAAGCATAATCGAAATCCTTCAGTTTCTACTGTAATCTTTTAAATTACAATCCATTATTTATTCTATTATTCCATTACCAATATAAGTTTATCCTCTCCACAAGATATCACTCTATTTTATTATTCATTCTAACTTAATCCCCATACATAATGATTATGATCTGTAATTGTCTATGAACACAACCATTCATTCTACTTTTACCAGAATTTAATTGTCTTATCATTACTACCAGATACGATAAGATCTTCATTATTATTTATTATTAAACATCTGATATACCTCGTATGTCCATTTAATTTCTATGAACAAATCCATGAATTA